CCTAACTGATGACGTCACTGATGGCGTCATTCTTATCAATGTGTTTTTAATAATAGCACGTGTTATTTCATTTCAACACGTGCTTTTTTATTTCAGCACGTGTTTCTTTTAGAAAGCACGTGTTTTTATTAATCTTATAAATACATGTAATGTTTTTAACATGTAATCATTATTCCTGGAACATTAATTCGAACGTATTCTATATCATTTTTAATGGCCGGTGGTATTGATGATATTACGCGTCAAATTCAAGACATAATTAATACAAGAGTTCCAACTGGGAAGGATATTAAGAACATATTTCAATCTCATGTTTGTGCTTTTGACATTGATTCTATGATTACTTTTGTTTATGTTTTACGTAGTCATCCGCAAAGATTCATACTTGCACAAGCGATGAGACCTGCATTTGTGTATATTATTAAATATATGTTTTTAAAAGATACTCAATGTGAACGAATAGGTCGTGGGTATACATTATTAACTTTCAATTTAAATAATGATAACGATGATGATAATGATGACGGTGTTTTTATTAAAAAGCATGTGCATTTATTGTAAAAGCATGTGTTTTTATTAATCTTATAAATATATGTTATTTATGTATTTCTATATCATTTTTATAATGGCTGGCGCTGTTGATAGTGTGGGCGTTATTGTTAATCAAATTCAAGATATAATCATTAATAAAAAGCCTCCATCAAAACGTGACATTAGAGGTGTGTTTTATCGTCAACAGACATACGTGCGACCGCTGGATATTGATTCTATGTTTACATTTGTTTGGCAACTTAGAGTTCATCCTTTAAGAAATCAACTGTTGCAAGCACTCAGAATGGCGTTTATTTATATGGTTCATTATATTTTAAGCAGTGACATGGTGGAGATTCTTACACAGTATGCCCATATACGTCCTGGAAAATATTGTATAGAGATTCCGCTTTATTTTACAACTCATAGTGTTCATGTTTACGAAGAGTATGTTGATGTATGGGGACACCATAGAGATGTGTTAAGATTACCACGCGGAATGTTGAAATGTGACTCTATTGTACAGATCGAGGATAAACTTTATGGAATGTGTACATATCAAAGTTATAAATTAATACATAATGCAGTAAAGGGTGTTTATGCTGATATGAGAGCGAATCATAATTCAAATTTTATTTATGTTCGTGGACAACGTGATATTTCAGGTTCCTCTCTTGTAAAAAAGTTATGTACGCATATAGATAACGAGGTATTATTGAACACGGTGATTTCTAGGCAATCATGGAGTCTAAATAAAATAGCAAGGATTTGGTTAGTTCATTTAATACCATATTATCATGATATTGATTAGTAATAACACGTGTTTTTATGGAACGAACACGTGTTTTTTAGAAAGTATAAATTCTGATGTATTGTAGAGGCTTTTTTAGAAGCGTATGTTAGTTATGAGATGAACATAGAAAATTTTAACCATGAATGTAATTTACGATGAACTTTGTAAGAACAATGTAGATATTGATGTTGTAACTTTAACATTTCATGTTGGGGAGATTTATGAGAAATACACAAACACGTATAATGAAATTTTAACAGCATTATCTTATGAGGATTTATTTAAGATATGGGAATTAATGCGTCCTAGCAGTTTCGGACATGTTATATCTTATTTAACATTGGTATATGCATCGGGGAGTGTTTCTGAAGAGGAAAGACGTAGAGCCACGAGGATTTCAGTACCGGTGTTAAAAGCTATCGATTTATCACCATACAGAGAACGGGCAAAGAAGAAGAGGAGGGAGATGCGGGGTCGTTTTTTTAGAATCAGACCTATGGTGTTTATATGTGTATTTATAGGTTATTTACTATATAAGTTATTGTAAGAGGTATAAGAGAAGTATATACGTTTATTTAACTCATTTATACTTTTACTTTCATTATGGATGTAAGGTTTAAGGTACCGGCAAATTTTTATGTATCGGGTCAAAGTCAATGTGGAAAGTCATATTTAATACGTAAATTATTATATCATATTAACGAGATGTTTCATCCTGTTCCATCCAAGATTATTTATTGTTATGGGGAATATCAGAAGGAGTTTGATGATTTATATAACATAGAGTTTGTAGAGGGATTTCCCTCCGATCTGAATGAGATGACGAAGGGACACGAGCAGTCATTAATAGTTTTGGATGATTTAATGAGTGAATGTTCCAAGGATCAACGTGTGTCCGATTTATTTACTCGTGGTTCACATCATAAAGGCATTTCCGTTTTTTATTTAACTCAGAATTTATTTCCTCCAGGGAAATTATCGAGAACTATTAGTTTGAATTCACATTATTTTATTGTGTTCAAGAACCCTCGTGATTCTCTTGGGATTTCAACTTTAGCCAAACAGATGTTCCCAAGACGCACTCAGTATTTACTGGATTCTTTTAATAATGCGACGAAGGAGCCTTTTTCATATTTATTAATCGATTGCCATCCCCAGACTCCGGAGAGTATTCGTTTACGTACAAATATTTTACCTGGGGAGAGACATATTGTATATATGCAAAGGTAAAATGGCTATTTATTCATTTGTATCATTCATTTGAATTAGAATGACATCAAGAAACATATCTGTTTTTATTGCTGGTAATTCCAGGAAAGTAACATTTAAAGAACCCTTTTTAACACGTGAAGGATCTACCATCGCGGTGAAACAGGTTATGGTGTTTTGGAAGTTTAAGAATATTACAAGCGATAATAATAAATTTACGGTTGTGAAGAAGGATGGAACTACTCCTGTCGAGAAAACACTTGAAACTGGATATTGGGATTTTCAACTTTTAAAAGAGCGTTTGGAAGGGGAACATATTACACTTTCACCTAATGTTCATGACAATACATGCACTATCGATTTCGATTTATTAAAATTAAAATCCGTGAATTTAAAGAAGTTTGGCAAACTACTTGGTTTTCCTGAGAATTATAATTTAGCGGTAGAGAAGAAGTCACCAAAACCTGTGGATGTAAATCACGGTTTGAGATATCTTACGATTTCGTGTGATCTTATTGATTCATTCAGAAGTATTGATGTGGATGGGGGGAAGAGTACTGTTCTTACGTATTTACCGGTTACTCCAGATACAAGACTGAATTCTTCCATTTCGGAGTATACAAACGAGAATTATCCAACAATTACAATTCAATCGGATAGTGTTACTTAGATGACATTTACAGTTGGTTCCAACATAAATGTTCCTGTGGATGTTGATGTTCTTTTAAATCTTGTAATCGATATATAATATAATATTATGTTTTTTAATAAAGTTTCATTTACATGATGTCCGAGTATATAGAAAGAACTCTACCGTTTATACAGGTGTTAGCGAAATCAAGACCTCAAATACAAAAAGCTATTTTTCAATACGGACCACCAGATTTGATTATAGCTCTTAGCGAGATTGTTTTGAACACACTTAAAGGTGTAATTCATTTAACTCCACGTCAGAAGCGTCATTTAACGCGTTACAAGAAAGAACTGCGTGCGTTAGTAAAGAGAAACGTTTCTAATAAGAGGAAAAGGAAGTTTTTAGTACAAAAAGGTAGCGGTTTTCTTTCAATGCTTATACCGATAGCTTTATCTATGTTATTTCAACAGTAATGAAACGTATGGTATTAATTCCCGAGGAGAGACTTTTACGTTATGAACAACGTGACAGTGAGCAAGTAGGAGGTCAAACGGAGAATTCGTTTGATGAGTCAGAGAACGAGTTAACAGATGACGTAATTGTACGTGGGATTCCGAAGACCATGAAGGCAAGAGCTTTAGCTCTTTTGGAACGTTTGAAAACAAGACCTGAGGTTATTTCGTGGGATAATACAGGACAAGTAAAATTAGATGGTGTTCTTATCCCGAAGTCTAATATTTCCGATTTAATTTCGGATGCCATGAGATCTCGCAAGTCTTTTAATCCTGAGGGTGTACGTGAGTTTTTTCAAGTCTTAAACAAAATCAATGTTCCAAGAGATTTGGTAAGAAATGAGGAGAGATGGAAGGATGTGGGGAGTAAGAATAAATATGACGATAACATTCTCAAGAAAAGAGTATCGTTTGATCTTCCGGAGAGCGAAGATATGGTACAAAAGGGAAAAGGATTTGATTTTGGGTTAAATTTTTTTGAGAAGGTGGGAAAGAGTTTTAAAGAAGAGATGGATAAGGAAAAGAAGAAGAAGAAGAAGAAGAAGAGTCAAAAAGGGGGAACTATTTTTAGACAGCAGGACTGGCTGGGGGTAGGACCGTTTGATAGAAGATTTTCGATGAAGAGGAGACTTCAAAAGAGGGAGAATATGAAGAAGAAGAAGACAGCTCAAAAAGGCAGAGGTTATTGGGATGGATGGGTTAAATTGGGAGATGCAATGAAGAAAGCAGCAGTAAAAAATAAAAAAAGAGTGAAAAAGCTTTGTAATAAAAAAATGTTTTGAATAAAAAAGATTTTTGAAAAAAGTGTTTTTTATTTTTTTTTAAAATAATTTTTTACAACATTGATTAAGCCCACAAACGGGTTGATTAAATATAACAACATTAAAATGTTTTTTAACATAACATGCTACTTCACAATCGTTCCATGCTGTATTATCTGTAAACATGTTTACAATTTTGTTCATGGTATATCCGCGACAGCGATGATATAGATAGAAGATACAATATTGACCACATACTTCGGTCCAATGACTTTGTAAGGCACGTGCATTCCATTTGAGATTTTCAAAAGAGGGTCTAAATATGTCTTTATAATATTGAGGCGGTTTTCCATAACTATAAAAAAATTCACCGTTTTCCTTTGAAGTAAAATAAAAAAGAACCCAATGCGTTCCAGGTTTTGTGCTAGGATCCGTATTGACAATAAACCCACATGGGAAAGTATTTAAAGATTTCGGTATTTCATCTGCAGGAAATACCCCGCAAAAATATTTTTTAATTATAGGATGATGTTCAAGTACGTTCTTTATTTGTGTGGCATTCATGTAGAAATATCATAGATTACGTTTCTTTCCGAATCTATCTGCACGACATTTTCAAAGTCTCCATAACATACCAAGGAAATAGGGTTAGGTGGAACATCCCCTGCAGCAAACGTAATGTCAAGTGTCAATGAACCTCGTTGTACTGTGTTAAAATAGGGCGAGGCACCACACATATCTGGAGTGAGATCCCATGCGTAGAGGGTATATCCTTTGTAATAATCTTCTCTTGAGATATCGAGACCTGCGTTATAATTCATTTTCCCTGTACCTGAGAATAATGTATTATATGCTTGGATGAAATTCTCTTTGTTTTCTTTATAATTAAGAACCAGTTGTTTAAATGGTATTTCTTCACCATTTGCTGTTAGTGTCACCGATGATACATTGAAGTGTTTAAAGTTATAGGGGTTTTTATCATGGACACCACTAAAAGCATCAGCATTCACAAAACCACACACGAATGTTTTAGGAATGATTCCAGCAAACATATTATCTTTTCTTATTTGTGGGAGGTTTCCAGGGATGGTGAATGCTTTACATTCCACGCGACGTATAGGATAAGTGGCCGGTACTGATTTCAATGCTAGTTCATGTGCTCTACTAACGGTTTCATTGACTTTAACTTTGCGTACTTTAAGAGTCACATCCACGAGCTTTATTTTAGGATTTATAGAATTGGTTGTATCCATCAAACAGAATTTGTCTGAGTTTCGGTTTAGGACTAACTTGAGATCTACCATACTAAGCAGTAATCGTTCCATCATGAATATATCGCAAAAAATAGGCCCGGACATCACCAATAGTTTTCCATCTTGAATGAATTTATGTCGTTTTGCAAAGCCTTGATTTCCACTTCCAGGTATTAAAAATTTCAGATTTTTTGTTCCGCCTTCTGTAAGTGTAAATGTAGCAGATTCTTCCGTTGGAAGACTTCCATTGCTATCCATTTGCCCTGGGGTATCTTTGTAGTATAATGCTGAGGTGAGTTGAGATTTTTTTGCTGAGACATCATAATTCAGGAGGGTTTCTAAATAGGCACGGTAAGCATAGGTACCCATAGCTGGAGTAACTTGTTTTCCATTTAAGAAAACATCAACCTGTTTAAATAGGCTATGCATGAAATTGTTTATGGGGGGTACATTTGATTGATCGTTTCCTCCTAATGGAGTTCCATCCGATTTTGTAATTTTCAGTTCGACCACAAGAATCATTTTTGACATGTCAATATAGTCTTCGGTACCTGCTGTTATGAATGTAATAGGTCCATCATCGTTTTCCACACTCGAGAGTGGGTGATAATCAACCCATCGTCCTTTTTCCAAACTTAATTGTGTGGACGGAATATCAAATAGATCAATTTCGCTTTTATCGCAACGATTTGAATTTGGATGTACGTAGTTATTATTCATTATTATAAGATTTATATGGACTTCTTCTTTACTTCGATATCAGATAGGATATGATTGCTTTTTAAATGTTCATTCAAATATAAGTACTTTTTTATTTCAACCAAATATGTCTCTAGGGAGAACTTTCCTTTGTTTTTTATTCATACCACGTGTTCTTACAACACCAACAGGTCTTTTACGTTTTGTTTTACGTTTCGTTTTACGCCCTTTTCCTGCTTGAGGTTTTTTTCTACCTTTTTTCGATAGAGATCGTTTTATTGATGTTTTACGCTTTCTCCCCCCGATTTGACTTTTCTTAGATCGTTTTCTAGATCGAGATCGTTTTCTGGATTGAGATCGTTTTCTGGATTGAGATCGTTTTCTGGATTGAAATCTCTTACGTTTTTTTCCACCTGATTGTCTTAGGGTCTGACTTGCAGCTTGATTTTGTAATAATGTTTGTAATGCTCTCTCCATTGCCATGTTTGTAGCACGCGTTCCGGCCTGTCTTCCATGTGCTTTAGCTGAATGATATTGCAATATACGTAAATGTCAGTTTCTCTATGCATATTTCCATCGTAAGTTCCTGTTTCTGTAGTTTCAATTTTCTTTTCAATTACTGAATCGTTAAATGATAAGAACCCTAGAATAATAGCCTGGTCTTTTCGTAAATTAACTTTATATCCACTTTCTAGAGTGATAGTCACTTTTCTTCAATGTACGCTGAATTTAATCTTTCTTCTAATTTCTTCCGTAAAGGATTTGTTAATGTCTTCTACATACTCTTCAAGTGAATCGTAATATTTTTTTAATTTTCCTCCTTTCTTTTTTACATCATTTACCATGTATTGAATAGATTCCCCATTCATTTGTATTATTTTCCATTTTACGTAGGAGATGTTTTATAATCCTACTTCCCATTCGCCATTTAGTTCAATACGATGTGGAATTTTTGTAGTATATTCGGTTTGCTTGTTTTCAGGGAAAATATTTTTTGAAGAATCGCTAGGGAGTGTGATATAGAAGTCTGTGTTGTTCATGATTCAAGCTATAAATGATGAATAAATAAGAATACATTTTTTAAATATCTTTTATTTGAGAAGCAGGGATCCACGAGTTAAATTTCGCTGGATATCCCATCCATTTTACAAATTATTCCTCTTTTTTACCCTTCCCCCTCTTTTTTAAGATTTCCTCAACTTCATAAATATCGTCTTCCTTAATTATTCTCTGTAATTCTTCTTTATAGAATGTCCCTTCCAATTCTTCTTGATCATAATCTTTTAATTTATAAACGTGGGGATCGCGTGGTATTTGTTTACTAACGGTAAAAATTTCTTTGGAAAAATTTGGTAAATATCCTTTTTCAAATTTACGTTTCATCTTACTGATTCTTACTTGATCTCCGATATTAAACTTATAAATAATTTTCCTCTTCTTACGGTCTCCATATAAGGTATGCCATACTTCTTGTTCGTTTTTTAAATTTACATTAATGGGTTTCTTTTGAATGCTACGATGTTTACTATTATTATAAGAAGATATTAAGTCTGGTAATACATCAATATATCTTTTGGTCTTCTTTGCTGTAAAGTAACGCCACATCTTTGTCTTTAAGGTACGAATTACACGTTCCACAATCGACGCCTTAGTCTCATTGTAAGTATTGTATAATTGAATTTCCTCTTTTTTCATTAATGCTTTAAAATGTTTATTGAAAAATTCAGTACCTTGATCTGTTTGAATTTTGTGCAGTTTTCGTCCTGATTTTAAGATAGTCTTAAATGCATCAACCAATGTGGGTCCTGTTTTATCCTTTAGAGGTATAACCCATGTAAATTTTGAGAATACATCAATACAAACAAGTAAATATCGATAATCATCATTCTCTTTAGCTATAGACTGCATGTCTGCTAAATCCATCTGCCATAATTCGTCTATTCCTCCGACAATGACTCAAAGCGTTGACGTGCTGGTTTGTGTAAGGTATAAGTATCCTGTTTCATCAACCATTCTTTAATTTTATCTTTAGAAATATCATATTTTCCCTCTCTTTTCACATCGTTATATAATCGTTCCACACCACCGAGTCCACCAACACGTTTTGGATTATAATAAATACTGGAGAGATACTCATCCATTGCCTTCTTCTTCTTCTTTAATTACAGGTAGACTAGAGGATAATCTTATAGGTTCTTCATATTGTTCTTCTTCTTCTTTTTCTTCTTCTTCTTCTATTATAGCCTCTTCTATTATAGTTTCTTCCTTAATAGAGGGTAAATGCTGTTCAACTATCCGTTGTCTATTTACCCGTTGCTTATTAATAGGTTTATAATCTTTATTTATTTTAACGGAATATCCTATCTGAAAATTACCTTCAGTTTTTAAATCTTTATGACCTAGACTTAACCCTACTTTACATGCTCCATGTTTTTCTATATTTTTATTTAATCTCGTTTTTGATTTTTTTGCTCCCATGTTTACAACGTGAGGTTTTAATCATTTTGAAGTAATATATTATACGTACTCTTCTTAAGTAAGGATTCTAGGAAATTTCATTCATTTATAAACCACTCATAATGAAGAGAGGATATCCTTATTCACATGGTAATCTTAATTTTGGATACGAGTATAAATATAGACCTAAGAGTGCAAAAGGAGGTACTGGTGAACGCGGTGAAATTGGACCACAAGGACCTACAGGACCACAAGGACCAAAAGGTGATTTGGGACAAAAAGGTGATCCGGGACCTACAGGATCACAAGGATCACAAGGACCTACAGGACCACAAGGACCAAAAGGTAATCCGGGACAAAAAGGCGATCCGGGACCTACAGGATCACAAGGACCAAAAGGTGATACGGGACAAAAAGGCGATCCGGGACTTCCAGGATCACAAGGACCGCAAGGACCGCAAGGACTGCAAGGAATTCCAGGTACAGCAGCACAAAAAGGTGACAAAGGTGACAAAGGCGATCGAGGACCTCCTGGACCTCAGGGATCCCAGGGACCGCAAGGACGTCCAGGTCTACAAGGGAACCGAGGTCTACCAGGACCAATTGGACCTCAAGGACAAGACGGTGTAAAAGGGGATTCAGGTTCACGCGGTGTACAGGGGGATCCGGGTGTTAAAGGGGATCGAGGAATACGAGGACCGCAAGGTGATAAAGGCGATACAGGCGATAAAGGTGATACAGGATCTCAAGGACCTAAAGGGGAAAGAGGTTATAAAGGGGAAAGAGGCATTCCGGGGGATAAAGGTGATAAAGGCGCTACAGGCAGCATTGGGCCCCAAGGAATACCTGGACCTATAGGACCGCGAGGACCTACGGGACCGCAAGGACCTACGGGACCGCAAGGACCTACGGGACCGCAAGGACCTACGGGACCGCAAGGACAGCCAGGCACTGCTGTGGCAAAAGGTGATAAAGGAGATAAAGGCGATAAAGGCGATAAAGGCTATAAAGGGGATAAAGGAAATGAAGGAAATGTAGGGGTGCGGGGTCCTCCAGGACAACCTGGACCTACGGGTCCTACGGGTCCTAAAGGGGACATAGGAAATCTAAGCTCAGTTGAAAAACGTGAATTCATAATGGTGGATAAAGATTTTGAAAAAGTGAGTTATGAAGATAGTAAAGGAACAAGTAAGGGTACTTACGAAACATTCACATTTAATGATAGTGGACCATGGAAACCTGCTGGACGAGGAAGAAATTTAAATGTTAGCAGAGAGAAAGGAGAGACAAAGGTTCCGCTTTTAGGAACATGCACGGGTCTAAAAGTGGAAATGGATGTTGATTCGGGAAGAAGCGAATCGGGGATCGTTTTTTATAATGAGGATACAAGCGTAAATGCCTACGGTCTGATATTTGCCGTTATGTTTCATGATAAAACTAAACACGGATATAAAAATGTGACTTTTGACACAGCTAAATCAAGTCCAATTGCTTTTACATCAGTGCATGGTTCAATAAAGAATATTGGAACAATAAAAGTAAACGATGAGAGTTATGAGTATTATTTGGCGCGAGCTGGAGATGCTGGAACATTTAATCGAACTCTTGCTAGAGTTGAGTTTTTCTTTACAAACTCTAAAATAAATGATCCTGTTAATGGGAATAATGGTAAAATGTCCTTTACTATTTTTGGAGGATTTAAATTCAAAAATTTTACATCCCAAGACTATCGAAATTCACGTGTAGGGAGCAATAATCTTTTCCCTCACCAAAAAGATTTTGATAAACATAAATTTGCAGATGTTATGGTCGGAAATATTCTTCTTGCTGGTAAATTACAAGCAGATGGAAGTATCGTCGTGGATAATAGATTTGTAATTTTTTGTAATTTAATTAATTTTGCCACACGATACAGCCTTTATAAAATAAATAAATAATATATAAATATATACCATTAAATAAATACAAATAGCAACAAATCAGTTATGAAGTGGCGAGGAAGTCCAAAATAGAAACCATAGGGCTTATAATAAATTCGGACTCCTCATTAACAGGTATAAAAACATTGAATTGAATAATTGAGGCAGGAGTGGCATGGTTAAACTATATATTGATATTTTACACTATACATAGCTACGATCAATTATTAAGTAGATATATTTTTAATTTCGAATGAAATTGAGAAACGGATGCAGCATCACGAATGCCAGCATCCAAGGAGTTGTAAAAACAAGGACCCTGATAATTTACGGAGAATTTTCTAATATTGGTTCGACAGCTTGGTACATAAAATAATCTAGAGGCACGAGTATTATAATTGTGAATTTGATTGGTTCTTATAAATGAGTTAGCTAGATTTGTAGGCAATAGGTTGTTTTCACATTTATACATAAAAATTCCTAATTGAAATAGGTAAATATTATTCAATTTTAAGATACCTAGATTCCTAAAAATAGCATCGGTATGTGCATCATATGTTTCCCTGTTGATGATTCTAATGACACGCTTTTGTAGTAGATTAATTCGATGTAAGCAAGATGGATACGTGGATCCCCAAATTATTATACAATACTGGAGATACGGATATATGAGAGCATAATAAAGAGTACGCAATGCAGATCTAGAAAGGAAAAAGCTTGATTTGTATATAATTCCTATAGACTTTGATATTTTACTTGCAATATGTGATATGTGACTTTTCCAAGTTATATGTTCATCCAATATTACCCCCAGAAACATAGTTTCCTTAACTTGATCTATCTTTCGACTATTTATCTTTAACGATAGATCAAACGTTTGCCTTTTTTGTCTCGGTCTGAAGATCATAAAATTAGTTTTCTTCTCATTTAATGACAACATATTAGCCCTAAGCCATTCAGAAATATTTTGCATTTGCGAGTTGGCAACATTCATTAATTTGGACATATCATCATGTGAGAAAAATATATTAGTGTCATCAGCAAACAATATTAATTCCAATACATCAGACGCATTACAAATATCATTGATATATATTAGAAAAAGCAAGGGACCAAGGACTGACCCCTGAGGCACACCACAAATTACATTATTATAGGAAGAACAAGTCCCATTGTATTCCACAAATTGTTGCCTACCAGAAAGATAACTCTTAATCCAATCAAGGGCCAGTCCTCGAATCCCATAATGATAGAGTTTACTCAACAAAATACCATGATTTACAGTATCAAATGCCTTAGATAAGTCAATAAAAATACCTATAGTATATTTTTTTTGATCAACCGCTTCGGTGATTTTATTTGATAAACTCTGTAAAGCTAATGAAGTAGAATGACTTTTCCTAAATCCATACTGGTTATGAAATAGTATATCATGTTGATCAAGGTAATTAGTTATACGGTTATGGACAATCTTTTCGAATATTTTAGAGAATATATGTAGAACAGAAATAGGTCTGTAGTTGGAGAAAACACTATTATTACCCGATTTAAATATAGGAACAACTCGAGCAATTTTCAATTGCTGGGGAACAACACCTGAATTAATAGATAAATTAATTAAATGCGTCAATGGTTCAAGAATTAGATGACTTGAGCCTCTAACTAGCCACATAGGTATGCCATCATAACCGGAAGACACGCAGTAACGAAGCGTATTAATAATCTTATAAACCTCTTGCTCAGTTGTAGGCTCAAGAAACAAGGAATTCATAAAGTTACCACCGAGATAGGAATGAAAAGAACTAGCGCCTATAGGAATTGTTTTAGCCAGACCCGGACCAATATTTGTAAAGTAATCACAAAAACGATCGGCAATCGCTTTAGGATTGAAATTATTTGATTATTATCTTTAAACTCATGCGGTAATTTCCGAGTTGGTTTTTTCTTATTTATAACCTCATTTAGAATCTTTCAGGTATTTTTAGTATTGGATTTAACATGTTCAAGTTTTCGTTCATAGTACATCCGCTTACCAATACGTATGGAATGATTAAGTTTATTCTTATAACTTTTATATTGAATTGCATTAACAGAGTGCGGATTACGCAAAAATTTTTGATACAGTTTGTTCTTTCTTTTTATAGATTTTAGAAGACCTGTAGTCATCCAAGGTTTCCTAAAACAATATCTAGAAAATTTTATTCTTTTCAAAGGGAAACATTGATTGAACACATCATAAAATTTGTTTACAAAACTAGCATAAGCATTTTGCGGATCATTATATCGCGGAGTATCAGACCAAACAGTTCTGCATAACTGCTCTTGAAATTTAAATAAGTTATTTGCATTTTTCTCACGAACAACAATAAGGGTGTCTTCATTCAACATTGGGAAGCATATCATGAGCAATACAGAATATAGGTAAATGATCAGATATATCAGTAAACAATAAACCACTAAAAGAAAAGCTCTCAAGATGATTAGAAAATATGTTATCAATAAGCGTCGCAGTGTTTGAGGTTATTCTTGTCGGACGAGTTATTAAGGGAAAAAACATATTTGAATACATGATATCGAGAAATTCACTAGTAAATTGATGACAATGGTATTTCATTAAATCTAGGTTGAAATCACCCATTAGATAACAGAGTTTATTTTCCTTAGAAACCGTAGTCATCAAAGTATCAGTGCTTTTAACAAATTCATTTACCAGCTGATGTGGGGTCTATAGACAACCCCGACATTAATATTTTTCCCCTGTGGGCGACATATCTCTATAAATAACGATTCTATTATAGAATCCTCAAAACTAAGGTCATTACGAGGTTTATATTGCAAATTGGAATCTAGATAAATGCCAACTCCCCCTCCTATTCTATGTTGACGATGGTTGTGCACAAAATTATAGCCCTCAATACTACAACTATGTTCATCATTTTGCAACCAGGTTTCTGTAATGCCAATGACTGAAAATTTAGTGTCAACACTAGCGAGTAAACTAGTCAAGTTAGCATAGTTACGAGACAAACTACGCATATTAAGATGAATAAGAGAAAACAGATTACACTTCGTACTAGGTACAATATTTTTTAGTTTATCACCAAAAGTAACCTCAGTAAAATAATCACAGCTAAGTTCTTCAGGATAAAAATTATAATCAGGATCTAAATCAGTAGAGAGGGCTAAACCAGATTTATGACAACCAGGCAACAAGGGATTAAATTTCAATGAACGAAAACGGTCCTCATCAAAACTAACAGGGCCATTTGAAAGTTCAAATAACGCTAATTGAAATTCATCATCATCAAGATGATGAAACGGAAATACAGAAGCGAATTAAAGTTTTAAACAACAAATAACTTATCTGAACAGTCCTTAGCTAGGCCTCTATTCATATCTGATCTTGTAATCTTGAAATTCTTTCAACGTAGTAAACGATAACACGGAAGATGATTCATCTTTTTTTAAATAAATCTTGCCTTGTCTAGACCATACATATTTAAAATTATGATTCCTCTTGAAATGCTTGACCTCTTTCAACAGTATGCGACACTTCGGGGTTAAACTTTCATTAATATAAAGCCATGTATTTTGGGTGAAGCCGAGATCCCGAGCAGATTTATGTCGGAGATTCTTTTTGGCACTCATAACTCTATCGCGAACATCACGTCGAGTAAATTTAGCAATAATCGGGGCAATAAAGCCAGTTGAAGCTGATAGACGGTGGCTTATAGAAATGTCTTGATCATCTAATTTAAGTGAGGGGTCGGCAAGTTCGACTACACCTTTAACTAGTGTATTCGTATCCTCATCTGGATTGACTGGCACACCATGGATTTCAATTAGATCTCGCCTTAGATATTGTTTTATGCTTTCCGTGTCTGATTCAGCGGCTGCAACTTGACATTCCAATGACTCTATACGTTTACGAAGTTGAGAACTCTCTGTACGAAGAGCATTGTTTTCTTGCTTTAGTTCGGCCATCGAAGTTATCAATTCCTCGAATTTTTCACTAAGAAAGCTCTGACTTTTCTTTACTTCTTCAAGATCATTCTTGGTAGATTTTGTAAACTTAGCAAATAGCTCATTCATTTGTTCCGACTGCAGTTTCAAACGCTGGTCAAGAAATTCTTCCAGACCAGTCGAACCAGCAGCCATGTTAGATTTATCGACATCATTTTCAGTGCTTGATTTTTCTTTCTTTTTCGGAGGCATTATGTCAAATTCGATCAATAACACTTATATTGTTAACAAGTAATATGATGCAGTGATTTTATAACTTGAGAGCTTCATAAATTGAAGAAAATCAAAACCTTTTGGCGGAGCACTTCAGTGCATGTCCTCACTGCCTCGAGCACGTGGTCCAATCAAGGTTTGAAGATATTGCTTGGAAATTTATCTGCTGATTTTTTACTTTTATTTGTAAAACAAATAGAATCTCTTACAAAATCAATAACTGTTTCAAAATGTTATTTTCCGTCACCTGCGGGAAATTCATGGTGCAGTGAAAAACAGGATTTCACCGGATATCCAGGTCGCGTGTTTCCATGTTTCCAAGGGAAGGAAGTGTCAATAATTCTTATAACACACGACTTTGACAATGATCGAACAGTCCCTACCGGTTTAACTCTGCGTTTCAGAGTAACTATTCAAAATGAGACTGTTGACGACAAAACAAAAATATTGGGATCAATAAACTATTCCGATTCAAGCATTAGGAATTCAAAGAATGGAAGGATGTATCTTTTAAACAAAACATTAAAATTCACACCGGAAAATACGGACGTCGGATTTACCCTTCAATTTCAGCAAACAGCACCCGCAACATCAATTGGTAACGAGTCTAACTTAGTATTTAAAATCTTTTATAATTAGATAAACAAAGAAGTATAAATAAAGAAATAATTTTTATTAAAAGAACTTTTTAAAACATGTGTTTTCTCTCAACAATAACAATTATTTAACATCGGTTTTTCAAGCTAGCATTTGTTCATCAACATTAGATTTGTGTTCGTCGACATTAATAGGTGTTTGCGTGCATCCAGGCATTTGTTTTATTATTTTTATTAAACGGATAATGGTTCGCATCATTAAATCAGCCTTCTTATCCAATTTCTCCAAGGTTTCAGACATTAACGGTGTCTCGCTTTGTGTCTCTTCATCCCATGACGATAATGGGGATGGTGGTATTACTTGCGGGGATGATGGAGGTGGTGGTGGTGGTGGTGGTGGTGAAGACGATGGTACAGGTAGGTTTACGTTCTCTTCTATCTTTAATGATGTCACATGCACATGATGGCAAATAACATGATATAGCCCATCGTCGATGTTTGATAACTCGTTGCCAAGTATGTTTGAGAGTATGTTTGGAAATTTCTTCGAGATATGTTCGGTTCTCATTTTTCTTGAGATTGTAAAACACGGTATTTCATGTTTATACAATATTTCTTTATCTCTCATGCGCTTAAGAAAAGAGCGCAAAGGTGTTGTTGAAAATTCCTTGCCTTCTCCCCACCAAATGAATACTTCAAATACGAATGAATGAATGTCTGGCTTTTTGACAACCCATCCATATTTATTCTTCCTTCTATGTAAGATCTTTACACGAGATCTTTACATAGACGTTCTTCTTTAAATGTAACAATAACGTAATGTGTAACGTTCATTTTGAAAACAAGAAAGCGAATGAGAAAAATCAAATATAACGGTCTTTATTTATACATAACTGCACGTGTTTTTTATAAATATTTGCACGTGTTTTTTTGTTTCTACACGTGCTTTTTTGTTTCTGCACGTGCTTTTTGTTTTCTACACGTGCCTCTTTAAAACCCATACGGAAGTGTCTTGAAATTATCTATTAATACACGTTTATCGTAAACAACGCTATAGTCTTTCTTCATCTTCTTTGTTACAATGTTCTTCTCCTTCTTATCCCTTGTAATTTTGAATGGATTATTTACTGTAATTTTTGCCTTTATATTACATTTTGCATGTAAATACACAAGAGCACGCACAGTGTTAGGATTTATCTTCTGGGTGACAGAGTGGTTTAATGTGATACCACAAATTTTTGTCTCCGACTTTCCGTCGCTAGTGTGATATGCATAATTCTTTGGACCACCAGACATAAAAGTTGTGATATGTCCTCCCTTTAATTCGTTTGTAAGATCCCCCAAATAATTCCCCAATGGTGGATCTGCTTCACTTTCTTTCGAGATATAAATAACAGAGTCGGTGTCGTAATAAAGTACACGTTCTTGTAACATATCCAAAAGATCATAAAGTTTCAATCGAGCATAGGCTGTTGTAAAAGCAGCAATAACCACATTGGTCTTGTTGTTAGGTTCCAAAAATTCGTTTGTGTTCTTATATTGCACTTCGAGCATGCTGTCGTTCACTATCTTAACATCGCACACCTCAAACTCGTCGGAGGAAAGAAGATCAAAATATCTTTGAGGACTTGTAATCATTTCTGTCTTTGTCACATTTGGACGTTGGGCAAATTTTCCTAAAAATTAAAAACCAATTACTAAAAAAGTAAAATTATATTTATAAAAAATTAAAAATTTTACACATACCCCAAAATGAATTTAACATTAATTTTGCCAGTGCACGTAAACCAGGATTATGTGATATCTTTTCCATTTCTAACATCACACCCTCATGTTCGAAATACATATCGATATAGGACTGTTTTTGTTCCTCCGTCACACACTCCTTTGGGAAACCACTCGCCTCTTGTTTAATCTTCAGGAAAGTATTAACGTAGTCTTTAAATAAATCTTCTGACTGTCTTGGGAAGTGCCATACTTCGTGAATTTTTAAAATTCGATACCCTTTTTCAATGGCTTTCAATAACTCCACATGACACCATGTTCCAGGAATAGATCTTTCTTGTTCTGAGTGTGTGCATGGATCTTGATTAAATGAAATAGCACACGATCTGCATATGGGGAACAACAATTTACCTGGAACGCGATAAGGGAGGACAGGATGAAACAACCCTCGTGGAGGTAATACGATACATTTTACCAATCCAAAATAAGTTGATATATCTGAAAAATTCTCTGTGATGATAGTTGGATGTCCAACAACGGTTCTCGTTGATTTATTACACCAGGGGTATAGACTAGTAAAATCTATGTATCTACAAAAAGAAATGACGTAATGAGAATAAAAAATGATGTCATAAAAAATTCCTTTTCATTTTTACCTGATCTTCTCGTCATTCTCGCATTGATGAAAGAGCTTTACGGCGTTTGTGCGTCCTCCATAAAATGCATCACGCGGTTGGAGAGGGTCAACAAGATCATGATTTTCAAAATATGCACACATGTCTTCATTTAACTCTAATTCTCTCTTTAAATCACATTCCCACATCTCTATTACTTTGTACCCACATTCTTTTAAATAGAGATTCTTTTTCACTGTAGAATCGTAAAGATCACTCATTGTCTTCCCACTAACAGGGTTAACAGTGTCACGAGCATAACACTTTCTACAACCTAAAAACAATAATAACAAGTAATTTATAATTAAAATAATAAATAACAAAATATTACATAATAAATAACAAAATATTACCATGCCATATACATCCATGAAATTCAAATGCTGTATTCGTCTCGATATTATATCCATCCAGTGAATATCTACCAACACGCTTCTCTCCCCCATTTCTTCCATGGATAATAAAAATATCCTCCTTCTTCGATATACAGGGTGTGTCAAAAAAAATGTCCCAAATGTAAAATTTTCGTTTTTCAGGATATTTTGCAGAATTTGGCAAATTTTTGTGTTCCCAGAGATAGTTAAGACTTATCTGGTATACCTTGGCCAAGTTTGGTTTTTCATTAACAAAATTATGTTACCGGGGGGGTGGATTCTTTCCATTGATATTGAGAGGGCTTGCACGCGAAAATGTGAAGCTGAAATTGAGATATTATTTAGCTGTCTAAAAGTAGGAAAGCTTTTTAATAAACTGTCAAAGTTTCAGGAAAAATAATGCATACTCGGAGCAACGCGCGACCCCTAAAGGTGACAAATATTTCACTGCGCGCAGTGGATTAAATGCATCGTTGATTTTAGCGTGACCGATCTCATGCAAGGTTGGGAAAATGAATAAATTAAAGCGAGAAACTGAACACAAAAACAAAGCGATTTATTTGTGATGTTAATCCTCAGCATGTCCACCATTTCATTCTAAGCAAACTGCGGCTCGTCAGAGCATAGTAGACACTGAACAGCGAACCATTCGTCTGTCCAGTCGCCTAGATTTGCCGGTGGTAGCGTAGGCGATTTGCAAGAAAGAATTTCGAACGAAATGGAGAATTTGAGGCAGGACAGACAAATGGTTCGCCGTTCAGTGTTTACATGCTCAGACGAGCCGCAGTTTGCATAGAAAGAAATCGTGGAAATGTTGAGGATTAACATCACACGGAATAAAAATCTTGTTATTAAATCGCTTTGTTTTTGTGTTCAGTTTCTCGCTTTAATTTATTCATTTGCCCAGCCTTGCATGAAATCGGTCACGCTAAAATCAACGATGGATTTAATCCACTGCGCGCAATGAAATATTTGCCACTTTTAAGGGTCGCGTGTTGCTCCCAGTATGCATTATTTTTCCTGAAACTTTGACAGTTTATTAAAAAGCTTTCCTACTTTTAGACAGCTAAATAATATCTCAATTTCAGCTTCACATTTTCGCGCGCAAGCCCTCTCAATATCAGTGGAAAGAAACCACCCCCCGGTAACATAATTTTGTTAATGAAAAACCAAACTTGGCCTAGGTATACCAGATAAGTCTTAACTATCTCTAGGAACACAAAAATTTGCCAAATTCTGCAAAATATCCTGAAAAACGAAGATTTTACATTTGGGACATTTTTTTTGATACACCCTGTATAAGATAACCATTTTAACGCCATGTTCGATTGTTTTACTTTCATTTGATAATCAGAGCGAAAAATACCTATGGTCTCCTCTTGAAGGAAATTAACACAAAAAACCAAGTTGCATGCACTTGCAATAGTTAAGCATCTTTCGAAAGGATCAATATCCGTAATAGTTTTGAATAACTCACGAAATTCCATGCAACAGCGACGTAAGATATCCACATCGGATCGACAATATTTTATAATCTCTTCCTTGAAATCGAAAACATAATTTTGTTCCCTTTGTTCTTTATACCATTCCAGAAATACCTCACGATTCTCTTCCTTCATTCCATTTGTGTTGTAGAAAGCCTCACATGGTATAGGACCCACATAATTCTCATTCTCTCTTCGATTAAACAGATGAGGAAAATATCCTTTACTTATCTCATCAATTCCAAATGTTTTAGGG